TTATTGACCAGAAATGTTGTGTTGCCGTGTGGACAATTATTACGTTGTTTATAGTAATACACTATACACAATATATGCGTATAGTATATATAATATAATATATATAATATATCAGAAATTACATTAATATTAGAATCTCTCATAGCTAACTTTATTATAATAAAGAAAATCAGAGCCGTTTATGTATCAAATTTTACCTCCTCTCGGTTTATGAAAATCAAATAAAGGCGATAAAAATAAATTACTAAAAGTATTCAGTGAATAGTTATTTTTATAGTGCCCTCAAGCAGTGGAAGGACTTTGTTATTTGTATATATTAGTATTGTAATACTCATATATGTAGTTTATTAAATAAACGTTTTATGGATTAGAAAAAAAAGAAATTTTATAAAATAAAACGTTCTAATCAAAATCCTAGTAAAAAGTTATTCTTCTAAAACATAATATTTGGTATTTAAAAGACTGATTTTTTTTTTTTTACTTAAATCATTTTGTAGTCAATTTTCTTTCATGTGTAATGAATGAATTTATTTATGAATTATACATTAAGTATTTGTGTCTCCAGTCGTATTGGCCAGGGAAAACTATCAATAAATAGGGAAATGCCTTAAATTGGGAATTTTACTTCAACTGTTGGTAGCAACCCTGTAATATTTTTCTTAGTTTTATAAAATTGTTTTATTTTTTTTTATAATGTAGTACGTACTGTTTTTCCTTTTTCATTTTTAGACGATAAAATTTTTTTGGTTTTTATTTTGTGCTGTATTAAAACCATAGCGGTAGCGGATAAAGTTCTTTTTCTGTTACAACACTAGACGTTTTTTATTTGGTTTGAATCGAGGTCGCCTTGTATTCGGTATCAATATTTTTTGCGATTATTAGATCAATAATTTGTGGGTTTTAGATTTATAATTTAATAAGAAGGGATCTGTACTAGGCACTATACATGCTGCTTTATGTACAAGAGATCAAGTGGTGGTATAAAAGTTCTTATTATCATATCTAAGGGAGAAAGAACTAAATATATCTTTTACGCTGCATAAACTGGAAAGCTGGACTCTCTATATAATTTAAAGCATAGATTGAGTGTTGGTAAAGAACGTTGTTATTTTTAAGCAATAAAGCTAAAGTCGTTTTTTTAATGAATGGTCTGTTTGGTTTTCCGCTATGATGTCGAAATTTTGTCAGTTATTTAGATCTACCTGTTTGGTGATGTTAATACCTCTAACCACTCATCATCATTTTACTAAATAGGTATCTATTATTTAAATTCAACACGAATAAATTTGCGGGTTACAGCTGGCATATAGCAATACAAACAAATAGGATTAAAAAAAATTAAACGCCGTAATCCTGTCCCTCCAACTTTTCAACTGAAACTGACGTAATCATGGTGGATTAGTGTTTTTTCCTAAATACCATTTTAAATCGATTCACATTCACTTAATTTTTTTCACTTATCTGAATATTTGTAAAAACGTCTTACTTCATCTAAATACACTGGTTGAGTGTAATGAAGATAGAAAATTTTAAAGCTCCATAAGTGACGCCTAATATCCTAAAGTAGGTTTTAAGGGTGAGTAAGAAACACTGAAAATGGCAATTCAATAAAACAACATTTAAGGGAAATGCGGATTTTACTGCCCAAAATTTTACTTTCGTTTTTCACTCTCTAAGAAACGCTTTGAAGTAAGTAGCTATTCTATAGACAACGAGGCAAATATATCATTTGAAAAGCATCCTAATAATACATCTATTTTGATTTGTTGAGGTAATTTTGGTTTTAGTGATGAACTGTCCATAGTTCTAAACACTTGATGTTTCTAATACTATTCAATAATTCATAAGAAAGAAAGAAAGGAGGAAGGAAAGTGTTATTCTGGGACATTTAGACCCTAATGAATAACTCCTATAAACAATGAAATGACATTTATCTGGCATTAGAAAACAATGGCGAATAAATTAATTTACATAGTTATCTAAACCGAAAATTAAAATTAATAAAAACACTAGTAGACATATGAAATTATATTATTATATGTAAACGAATAAGTTTACATATTTGTACAAATAAGCAATGTGGAAAATATATAAGTAACCGTAAGATAACAATGAAATGCGGTTGACATCTCTAAAATACGGAAATATTATTTTTATAAATATGAATATATATTCTGAAGATCGATTGGTTAGTAGATAGACAAATAAATGGAGTTTAAATGAGGTCAATGATGAGAATTGGCGTATGGAGGTTGGTACGGAATTCAAAAACAAATTAGGACCTGTAAAATGATTTTTACAGGAAACAGCTCTATGAGAAGAAATAAACAGGTTTGTGGACTGGATCTAGTGTTGAACTAATGCACAGAGGAACAAGGAGCAAATAAATCGGTATGGTAAGAAGATTTTTTGGTTGTAAGATCGGAAAGGGATATACTCCTAGGAAATATTGTCGTCGGAAAACTGGAGAGAACCATTTCTACTCGGCATAGCAAATGGTGACGTGGGAGCGCCTAGGGACTCCTAACATGTATCTAATGAAACAATTCCTTAGTCTTTTTAATCTGATCTCAAGCTGACCAGACAAGATACAAGGCAGCCATAATCGAAGTGAGGGAAAATGAGAGAGGAAACTAGGAGCTGACGGATTTTAATGGGTATAGTATCACGAAATCTCAGCAATTGTTTGAGGGTAGCAATAGATTTCGGATTATTGAGGAAATATGAATATTAATCGAACATGACTTGAAGGTTTCTAACGAAAGTGTGGAATAGGATAGATAATCCATTTAGGTAGAATGTGGGATAATAAGGAATGGAATTAATCATATGTTTCGAACCAATGAGAATGGCTTGGTTCTTCTTAGCGCTTAATTTTAAATCATTGCTCGTATTCAAAATATTAGTATCTTCTTGTAGCCTTCGGATTGCCTTAAGCATCTTGGTAGGATGGAAGGAAAGATAGATTTGGAGATCGTCAGCATATGAGTGGTATTGTGAATGAGGGATTGAATCAGGAAGGTTTAGAGGGAACCGGATCTTTCTTTGCTCAGTGGGCGGACATACAAAACTATAAAAAAGTATCATACTATGTTCTTCATTGAAGCTGTTTAGACTTGAAAAAAAGAGGGGACAAGGTGACCGAGCGAGCTAATGCGTGCACAGCACTGCGCGTTGCCTGGCAACCTGATAACCGAAGTTAAAGGTAGAAAAATAATTATGAGTTCAAATCCGGCACCGGGATTGGGCTCGGAATAAACTTATATTGAAATCCACCTTAATCTATTGAACATAAGAAAACAAATTGATATTTAGTAATTTAGATGAATAAAAAAAAAGTAAATTTTTATCCTTTTATACTAAAAACTATTAGAATTATTTTATTATTGTTTAAGAAGTATTAATGGCAATTTTTTAGGAAACTAATTGTGTTACATTTGAATACCACTTTATTGATTTTATCAACATTCTGGGGTTTAATTGTACCCAATCTCCTTCATGAATATTTAAACCATGGGTCTTGTAAATTGTTGGTTCTGCCCTTATCCTACACACGCACATACTATATCAATATGTAAAATAAAGGTGTAGGTAAAGATTAGAAAAAAAAATGTTTTTATGTGACTAATGTTTTAGTTTTGAAAGATAGGAAAGCAATTTTTCGAAAATGGCTCTTGGAGCCGAACCGTATAATAATAATTCTTGAATGTTTATGTTTATGTATAAGTGAAATACAATTTAATTGTTTTAAGTGTAAAAGTAAAAGTAAATACAAAGTTAGTGAGATTAAAAGGTGTTTTGGTACAAAATTAATTATACATTGATTGAATATAATAATTATAAAACGTTGTTATATCTTTTTTACAGTAAAAATTCAAAGTTATTTTGCTTACTTTTTTCTAGAGAAATGTTTTTTTGATCATCTTTATAAAGATCCTACTAATGGTAAATTGGATAAAATTTTGATTAAATCAAAACCCCTCGATAGGTTCATAGAAGTTTAGTTCCATTGAATTGTTTTTCTACAATGAACATTTGATAGTTTTTAAAATTTACAATTTCAAGTGTTGAAGCGCAACAAAAAAAGTATTGAACTAGAACAAATAAGTGAAGTTGTGTTTTATTCATTATAGTTACAGATGGTTGGTTCTAGAAATATGGACTTGAGCGAAAACAAATTACCGAAATTTACCATAAATAATAAGAACTATATTTGATAAAATTCAGCCGTCTAATTTGAAAATACACTAAACATACATTAAGACCATTCATCAAAAACTATATAGTGGTGCTCAAAATCCGTCTTGTTCTTGCACTTTGCCAGACCACCTAACTGTTGCAGGACCAAGACCAAGATTGGTAAAAAAAAATCGATTTTTGAATAAAAAGTAAGCCAAAATAGTTGCTAATATTTGACAATTTTAGTTACTATATGTAAAGAATTGGTATAACCAATATACTTTTGCATTTAACACTTCTAATTTTTCATTCGGATTTAGTTAGGTTACTCCTACCCAAAATTTTACAGTAATATTTCTATACTAATAAGATAATAGGTAACTGCAAGACTGTTGCGAGACTGAGTTTGCAAGACCAAGACTCGTCTCGGTCTTACATTTGGGCAAAACACTAATCAGATGAAAATGGTACGAACATTTATCAAAACACTATCAATTCGTCTAATGAGACTTTTTAGTCAATCCTTCTATCGGTTTATACAAAAAACTATTAGTTGAGGGATGGATAATTTACTATAGGAATTGTCAGTTACAATTTACTTTTTTGTTTTAGGTGGCCAACATGTATTTTTGAAAAATAAATGTTAAAAATTGTCGTAGGGTTACTTATCTAAATGTTTTAATATTCTGTTCTTACTGTATGTTAATTTAGATAAAAAATCACTTGTAATTATGCAAAGTGCAGTTATAATTCTATATATTTGGTTACATTTTATTATTAGTATAAATAAATTATTAACACTAGGAGGTGGTTTTTTGTTTTAGTTATTTTAGTGGCAAAGAACTCTTTTCATATGGACGTGTTTCATCTGCATACCCCCATGAATGGATTGTTTCAATTTTCGTATGTTCCCTTGCTGTTGATAGTATTCCTGTTCGCTTCTTCCTTGCTTGAACAATGTGTGGCGGTGCAGTTTTGAGATCATATGCTTGACCTAGTTTGGCCATAAATTCAATAAATAATGCTGCCAAATTGATACGAAAGCCGCCTAATTCAGCTGATCTGTAGTCCCAAGGGAAAGCATGATGGTAATTGTGCCAGCCGTCCCCAGCAATGCCAAGGCTGACTAACCAATTTTCAGTTGGGTTAATATTTCTAAAAAAAAAAAAAAATAATTAAAATAAATTAAATATAACGAAAATGTGTAAATATTTCGTTATGTTATGGAATCTATCTTTCTAACTAAAATTAAAATGTTGTAAGTTGTCATTCCACAAAAAGAAAGTATTTTAGGAGGATATTTTAAGGGAAGCTCATTGAACATTGTTAGAATATCGATCCTTTGGCTATGGTTTGGTATACTGGAGATCGCCGAGCATATAACATAATGATGTAGGCTCTGAGGGCCAAGATCCCGAGGGAGGTAGGGAACAAGATCAACTAATGACCAAGGAGGATTTTGTCTGCCACGTTTTTGTGCATGTGTGCAAGGAAGTGATCGGCCTAATCAGCCTCTCTTTAGGAGAGAAGGAGGTTTATCAGGGAGGACATATGACTGAAAGGATAGATAAGGATAGTGATTGGACAAAAGAAGAGTAAGCTGCTTGCACAGTTAGTTAGAAATAAAATATCAATTACTTGTTTAAATATAGCTTTAAATAAAATTTTTGCTTACTTGTCGTATGGCCTTGCCCCAAACTTATGTGCTGCACTGTTTATTAACCATGTCATATGAAGTGTGAAACAATATCGAAGCATCACAGCCGTGAAAAATGAGGTGATCACTGTTTCGTTCCAAAAATACATGGGCACTAATGTAGGCATTATCATGCAAAGAGGTACAGCAATTTGGTAGTAATATCTAAAACAAACCAATAAACTTATATTTTTATTTTAATCTATATTTGTTTATTTCCCTCTCCCTCCATTGTCTTTGAAAATACGGGATTAAAATTTTATTTCATAAAACAATCAATGTTTAAATCATTTTTTTTTTTTATATTTCTACCCAGGAGTCACACCTGTTTGAAATTGCGAACATCGCTGCCTTTTTCGCCTTGCTCCAAAATCGAAATGAGGTACGCCTTCTATTTATTTCCACGACCCAAGGTTTCGTAGTAATGATAGTTCTCAGTTGAGATGAGGAGAGGAAAATCTTCGTCGAGGCTGCAGAGAACAGTACTCAGTACAGAGACCAGAGACCAGTACTCCTCTTTCTTAGCACTAAGGGCTAAGAAAGAGGAGTACTGGTCTTCAAGGGGAGTGCAGTTAGTTATCACATGTTCAGTCTTTTTTGCGTACCCAGAGTCGTTTAAGAATTGTTGGACACGCGTACTTCAGCAGGTACAGAGTATGATACCCTTAGAAGCCTATCCGTTTGGAGTAGGAAGATGACATGGCTGCTGCCAAAACCTAAGCAATGTTCTCAGGAACACGACTGTGAGAGCACATCATATCTTCATGGAGATCCAGCTTATTTAGTATCCCACCTTATTTGGACTACATGGCAAGCTTCTTGACAGTCGTCCATGAAGCAAATTTTGCTGGTGGAACCATCTGATGCCTTAGATACCCAGCGATGCAGGCCATTTACAAAGGAGTGGTACTTGAAGTACGCATCCTTCTCGTGGAACCTGGACCTGCCTAACCTAAAGAAGAACGAGTTGGAATCTATTCAGAGAATGGCTCTGCCGGTCACCAAAGCATATAGAACAGTGTTTCACGGGGCAGTACAGGTCTTAGCAGGGGAGCTATCTCTTGGTCTGCTATTACAAACAGAAGGCTAGGCAAGGACCCCTAAGAATCTTCGAGCGAGGATTGAGGAACTACTTATGGATGACAATATTGAGAAATGGAACAGGCGGTGGGTCAGTGCCACTTTTTGGTTACCCTAAGGAAGTATTTCCTCGCCTTCCAGTCTCAACTAGCTGCCAAATGGATCTGATCTTATATGTATAGCTGTACCCGATGGCAAATAAATCAATTATTTAGATTTTTCGGCGATACTATTCAAGGTTAGCATATCTTTAAAGAATCAATGATCGGCAATCTTTCGAAATTCTCTTTAAAATAAATTGCATTGAAGGTTGGTCCTTCTTTTATTTTTTAAGTTTATTTATTTTCTTAAAAACATCTCATATTATTTTGAAAACAGGTCTTTCTATTAATTTATATTTCTCGACTCATCATCGATCTTAAATCTGACAATGCTTAAAGCCCTTAAAAAACATTTATAAAAATAACTACAGCAATTGCTCAAAGATTGTGAAAGCTACGGGCCTCAATGTTGGTACCCTCACTGCTTTCAGAGAACCTAATAAATATTCCCTTATCTGTTTCTGTTGAACTTTTTCAAGTAAACTCTAGTGAATGTTTATGATAGTTGCTATTTTAATGTCATACTCCTAAATTAAATGGAGATACAGTATCAAAATAAACTAGATAGTTTTAAGGAGCATTTTTAAATAGATTATAGAATTCAACGGAGCATAGTTGTTAGTTTATGAATTATATATTTATCTGAAGTTACTTGTCATGTATACAGTTTATTCTATGAACAGGTTTTCCTACCTTTTAAAGAAATGCTGCATTGTAGTATTACATGGTGAATGTAATACTATGATGCAGATCACAATGATGGTGAATCACTTGTTATCTAAGAATTGTTCAATACTTTAATTTTAATATTATCATGTTTTGGACTAAGTTTGGCAGTCTGTGAACATAGTTTAAGATAGATTTTATCCATTTTAAAGAATTTCATTTTATTACAAAAAAAAAAAAAAAAAAAAAAGATAAAATAAAGAAAACAAAAAAACTGAAATTAATTTGAGATATGCAGTTGAAATAATCGAAAGTTAGAAATGAAAAGTGCGTTGGTATTTTTATGCAATGGAATTTCGAGTATATTTTAAATTGCAACCGTTTGCTTAGGGGCCCTATTTAATTTGAGCTTGCTCAACATACAAAGGATAATACAGTTTTGAAGCATTTTAGATAATGTTTGACGTATGGCTATAAATAAAAAAAAAATTAATACAGATTTCCTGGCACTCTGAGTAAAAAAATAATTTTTTATTTCATTTTAAAACGTTTCTTCGATTCGGATACTGTAGAAAAAAATGTTTGATCTACATTAGTGATATATTACTTACCTATGTTGACACATGACGACAGGATTGGCATGTAAATCCTCAAGGAAAATAGTTTTTCCCTTTTCCATAACTAATGGATTTTTTTTTAACGTTAGCCAACCGATATGAGAGTAGAAGAATCCTCTGGTAGAGTTGTGCGGGTCTGCATCAGTGTCGGTGTATTTGTGGTGGACCCTGTGGTCTCTCGCCCATCTGTATATACTTTTCTGCAAACGTATTAAATCAAGGAATTATTTTTAATAATATATTATGTTATGTATAATACATGTTTTATAATAGTTTAGTAATTTAAAAGAAGCATGCACTTCTTATTTTCTATAGGTTTATTCTATATCTGTTTGAAATAAAATATTTGGCTCAATGTATCAGAAAGATGATTCCTATTAACTTTATTTAATATAATTAACATTTTTTTAAAAATATATATAATTTTCTTTATGTATATATTTCGGAAATCGTCTGCTGGTGACAAAATTACTCTATAGACACTCATGCATATTTATACAAAAAGATTAATTATGCATGCCCATCAAGTATGATTGTATGTGTTTAGCCAATTTAATACATTTTTAATTAATCTAATAAAGAGCATAAATTGTTTAACTATTTATATCCTTTATTAGATTTATTGCAAACGTCTAAAAGTGGTTATACATGGACAGGTAAAATTATTCTTGGTATTTACTTTAGTAATATTATTTTTTTTTTTACGGAAAGTCAGTTATTCTTGAACGTCAACTTCATCTGAAGTTCTATTGGTCTTATATTCCATATATTTGTTCTTTTCAGAGTTTTATTTATATTGTGAGATTATAATTTTATTACTTAATTACGTTTAATATTTGTGCCTATAATATGTTTGCATCCATTAATCACCATTTACCATAGGACTTCGTCAATTTAAATAACTGAAAAATATTACTACGTTAAATAATATAGTTGAATCAAGGAAGCGAAAGCAGTACAGATACTCCTATACCAATTAATTTTGTCCTGTTTTCAAATTGACAAAATTGTATTTTTAAATTGAGTAAAAATATTTGAGCGATAAATACTGACGTTAAGATTATTTAAAAAATATTAATGAAATTTGAATAATTTTTAGAAAATCTACTAATTAAAAAAGTAGTGATTTTGTTTCACGGTTTCGTTCTAATATTTTAAATATATTATCTGTTTCTTTTCATCTCCTAATTGTACTGCAGTGTTGTACGGATCTAATGCGATTACTCTACAGTAAAATTCTATTTAAATAATTATTAGAGATACTTCTTATTTACTTCTTGACTGAATAAATAATTAATTATTTTTTAAATACCATTTTTTTTTATTAAACAACTGTATTTATATTATCGAAATTACTAATGAATTATAAACCAAAATTCCTTAACGGTTATCAAAACTGAATATTTTACACAGTGCATTGTTGAAAGTTTCAAATTGGCATAGAATTCAATTATGTAGTTTTGTGATAGAAAATTAATAACAAAGAAAGCTAAAATTTATATGCGTAATTAGTAATTATATATATATTTTATGTCACCGACGAGTCAACCACAAACTATCAAATGAGTTATTTTCTAACAAAAATGATTATCTAGAATAAGTGCATTTATAAAATTATTTTATCGGCTGAAATAAACGTTTTGAATAACCTTTATTTATCTTCTGTTCAAGTTATTGCTTCCAAATTGAGCTTAATGATCCAAACTAAAATATATTTTTATTTAGTTCTCTATTTCTTAATCCTTCAGAAAACGAAGTTAGAAAATGTCTACTTTTAACTAAAATTTGTTAACCATTGTAATGATCAACACTATATAAATATGTTTAGTGTGTTCGGATTCCTAAATTCTTATTTAATCAAACACGTTAATTTTTCGTTCCAACATCCTCTATTCCTCTAATAATGTAAATTTAGATTATTTATCGTTTTATGTTCAGGATTTATTTATAGCATTATGTTAACCTAAATAGTATTATATCAGAATGTTATTTATAATTTATAAAAATAAATAAGCAATTCTTAAATTGTTATGTTATCAATCATCATTTTTTTTTTGCCATTGAAAAATACATTAGGAGCTAATTAGAAGATTTATTTTATTTGATTTATTTATATATTTTTTTCCAAACTGGTTGGAATATAAAATCACATCTGTCTTTTGATAGATAGGCCTCGAGGGAAATTCGGCACTTCACTTGGCTATTCTCCGGTCCAGATGTCACAGCAGCAATTTATTTTATTGATAGCTCTAGGATTTGACGACATTGCGCCTCTGAACATAAAAAACGCAATAAATTACTATTAAAATAACCAAAAAAACTGGATATCTGTCACCAATTTGGTTAGGTTATCCAGTTTTTTTTTTTAACTTATCCCTGTCGGTTCTTGTTAGTTTGACGGATTCATTTCAAAATGTCGTGCTCATTATCTAGTTTGGAGCCAGTGGATAATTCCTTTAGGGGTTGATGTAAATTAGAAGGGCCAAGGACATTGACGGATCCAATTTGGACTTAGGATAGAAAGCTGTTTGGTGGATCTTTTAGGTCGACATATCTTATTAAAATATACTCTTGATTAAGCAGCCGTCAAATTTTGCAAGGGTATTTCTAAACCATGTTTAAGCGTTGTATGAATTATATGGACAAAAAAAAAAAAAAGTCTCAAGGATGATTGCGATAATTCCATCATAGAATATACTGTAATATTGTACCATAAATCATACCCTTTATTCGAAGGAATAGATCTATGAGAATATTTTTACATAAACTTAACTTAAATCATACTGGTGGGTAACTAGTCCGACAAATAGTCCCATAGCTCAGTTTTTCCAACTGCTGAAGACTACCTCTGTAGATCCCTTAACAACTAGTATCAAATGAAGTATCAAAATTCATTTTTCGAGACTGTCATGAAATAAATACATTTCAGTACTGCCCAATGGAATACATCTTCATTTAATCGTGATTTCTTTGTCATATTATAAAAGAAAGATGATTATATGAATAACCAAGAACTTGAAATAGATGAAACCTGAAGCAAGTAGAGACAGCCAGCTCACTACATCTATGCCATATTACGGCTTCTGTTAATCTTTTATACTAGCTTTTTATCAATTTATATTTTAACGTGGACCGGGCTGGGGCATGCAGTTCGAAGTGTATCCTGTTTATTATTTCGTGAATATGCATAAAATTAAGCAGCTAATTTTTTTGTTTTGTTTCAATTTACTTTGTACAGAAGCTATCCAGTGCTGAATAATTTAGAAAACCACACTCGTCTGTGAACTCCAAAAAATACTTTTAAAAAACTATATACAAGAATAATGTTCACAAATTATTTTTGAAGTACCGAGATATTACCTAAACAACCTTTTATTAGTACTTATTTTCACTTACCTATATATGAAATATATATTTAGTTAAAGTATTGCGATCGTGATAATTTTCGAATCTGAGTTTTCAACGGAGTACATGTTTTGAGGAGTCGAAATAACGAAGTCTCACAAAATAGTATGTGTGTGTGTGTGAGTGTCTGCGTGCGTTAATTGTCTAGCTCAAAAACGAAATGTCCTACGAAAGTGAAGTTGCATATTTAAGGTTTTTATATACTTAGGATATAACAGCCATTTTTTCGTCAAAATCGGCTTACCGGAAGTGGTACTTTATATCGTGGATTAAAATTTTTTTTACGATTTCCTTGAAAACCGTCCTAACGATTTTGATTAAATTCATTATATCAGTGTAAAATTCAGCAGTTTTAAATAAAATGTAGGTTTTATTCTGATTGATGGGTTAATTTATCTAACGGGGTTAATTTTTAATATTAACTTCTCCTAAAGCACCTTTATTTCTTTTTTATTTGAAACAATTGAATATTTCACATTCATCACGAATATGGAAGATAGTTAAATATAAAATATGAAACAATTTGGTCATTAATTTTTTTTTTTCTTTTTTTATTGAGTATTATAACAATCTGTCTGTTGGACATTGCTTATAGTGAGGTAGGATGACATTCACACTATATGTACAAAAAAATAAAATAAATAGAACAAAATAATAATCAAAAGTATATACAATAGACAATAAAATAAAATAACCTAAAGAATAAGAAAATTAAAACTAAGAAAAAAAAAACACATGCATACCTATATACAATCAGGCGAGGGAACTCCAGGAGAACCCTGCGCTACTCTCCCAACCGCGTCACTGGTACTAAAGCCAGCGGAGATTGGTCGAGAGCACTTTAGCCACATACACTTTGGTCATTAATTAAAGAGGAAATAAGAGATCGTAACGGAGAATAGTTGTAATTCAGGAACCAAAGGAATACGAGCTCACCCGTTCTCGCCCAAAAGATAAGAACACCCTTCCATACGTAACATCAGCTTAATATAATTAGTATTTCGTCAATATTATGCAAATATAAATAAGCGGTTTTCATAAATACTATTGTTGGTATTATTTAATTGTATAGATTCCAGCGTTATAATTATTAAAATTTGTATATATAAGGGTACTTATACAAATAAAATACCCACAATGAAATATAAATCAATATAGCGTTTGTGATTTTAACTTTCACTTCTCCTTTTTCTGAAAATAGTTATTTCTGCTAAGAAGAGAGTGGTAAGTGAAAGTTGTGTGATGATGACCGCACCTTACCGGATTTTTTTTTTCATGTCGCTCTGAATGACTGACTTAACGGTGCTTTGATCATTCTGAAAAAATATCAGGAAAAGTATATTTGATCTAACTTTACCTTTTTGGCAAATTTTTTGACTTGATGGCCATGATAGTCTAAATTAATTAAAAGCATGACCTTAATAAAAAAAAAAATGTGGTGAAGGCCTCATCCCCAGACCAGTGTCCTCCAGTGCATGTTTTTTTTGTTTTGGTGCTGTTATTTATTTTTTCTTGATTGAGTTTTAAGTTAAATTTTGTTGTTACGGTTTTTCTGAAATTTACTTTTATCTTAAAATTTTTTCATCAACTTTAAACTTTTATCTTCAAATTTTTATATTTTCCGCGTTTGATGAAAGTAGGAGGATAGAAGACTCGATCGGCCCCTCATCTACACGAAGAAGATCAAAATAAAAGAAAAAAAAGTTTGATTTATTTTCGCTTCTTGGTTTAAAGAGGAGACATGACAGATAATTAAACTATACGATATAAATATATTTACTTATATCTTAATTATAGGTATTGATAAAAACATACTAATTAAGGAACATAAGGCTGTTCATTAAATACAAAAAAAGTTGAGATTATTCACTAATTTGATTTTCATTAAAATGACATAACAATATTTTGGAATAAACGGACGTTGATACCTAATTATTTAAATATAATATCAGATCTAGAATTATTAATCTACAGCAAATGTATTTAAGATTATAAACATATCCTTTATACATCCATGAAATGATTTTATATTTGACTTCTTCTTTCACGCAAGTACAATGAAATAGTTTCTTAAACAATATTATTGCCTTTGATTAGGTGAATTTTAAATACTTTTTCCGAACTTAAAAATATTTTAAAAGTTTACATTTAGTTCGTAAATCTCATTTAATTCCCTTGAAAACATGTGATTTACGTTAAATATTATTAGTTTTCAAAAATTATTATTTATATTTTTTTTGGCACTCTTTGTTATCTTCAACAAATTTCTATATTAGATATTGATTTTACTAAAGTTCTTCGCTTTCCAACGATATATTATTCGTATACCTTCTGACAAGTATTTCGGAACATTTATTTTAGACCTGGATAAGCGTTTTTATTTTTTCCTCCTTTATTCAATTATCAAATTATTTCAAAAGTTATATTTAGCATTTTTTCATAACTCTTAATACTCAGAGATAGTTAATTATTTAAAAGAAACCATATTAAATGTACTTTATAGGAAGACTCATATGAACATTGGGCATTTAAGCCCTGTAAAGTGAAATCAAGGGAGATAAAACCTGAATGAGATTAAAGACCACTTAGTCATGCAACATCGAGTTTAATCAAAATAGTTAGAGCCGTTTTTGAGAAAATTGTAACAATATGTTTCACCGTTGATATAAAGTGGCACTTCCGGTTAGCCGATTTTAAGGAAAAAGCTGCTAGAACATCTAAGGCATATACCTGTCTTAAATACGTAATATCAGTTTCGTACGACTTTTCGTTTTTTAGCTATACTGCTAACATACAGACACACAGATACAGAGACACATTGACCATTTTTCGGGACTTGGTTATTTGGACTCAGGCTACCCCAAAACGTGTATTTCCGTTGCAAATTCAGATTCAAAAATGTTCACGATCGCAATACTTACCCTTACTGTATATTTACGTATATACGTAAGTGAAAGTAACAAGAATTTTGTTCCGTTTAAATACTTCTTTTTCTTATAATTTATTTGTTTATTTTTTCTAATCTACGGTTAAAATGTATTGACCTCTTGTGAACTCACCTGAGCAGCCACGGTAGCGAATAGAGCCAGAAGAAGTTCTAACGGCATTTTGACTTTGTATGAGTTATGAGACCATAGCCTGTGTACTCCTGCTACGACTCCAATAGCAGATAGTTCATATAGCAATATTGCTGAAACATCGGTTTACAATTGTAAAAATATATTTTTCTGTTTAAAAATAAATATATATATATATATTGTATGCAGAACTAAAAAAAAAAATATATATATACCGTCGGTTTATTACGAAAAGTCACAAAGTATATTTTACATGGACCCAAATTTATGTTTTTTTTTTATTTTATTGAAATTTACAACATGAAGAGAAACTACCCATTGATAGAACTCAAAATTCTATATTAGAAGGTCCCGAGGCCATCTTCTTTTCAGACGCCTCGGAGGGTTATCATGGATCGAGGAGGAAGCAAGGTTTGAAACGAGAGGATTCGGATGGTTCTGCAGTTTGTTATGGAAGGATAGGTATCTGGATTGGGCCAAATCGGAAACATTTGGAACATTAAGTTCTTTATGGATGATTTTATTAGTGACAAAGTAAGGAGCGTTGAGGATTTTACGATGGATTTTGGATTGTAAGGATTGGATACGAGTGGAATTCGATGGTTTTGTGGAGCTCCAAAGCTCAATTTCGTAAGTCCAAATAGGTCTTATTATTGTCATATATATGAGTCGTTTGTAATTGATTGAAAGCTTAGAGCGTTTGTCTAGTAAGTGCTGCAGTAGTCGAAAACGTCGGGCGGTTTCTATCCGTTTCAGTCGTGTATGGGGGTTCCAAATTTATGTTAAAACAATTCATTTCTGCAAAATAATTATTTTGCGGTGTATTTTTAGCTAATTAACTCGAAGAATTATAAGAATCAGACAACGTTCAATTTTTAATAGAACTGCTATGATCATTGGGTACACAGATGACATAGACGTAATGGGATGAAACTATGAAGCCATTAAAAACGTATTCTTAGAGCTCCAACGGGAAGCTGGAAAAATAGGTCTGTTTAATTATGAAACAAAAACAAAACACATGTCCACAGACCTCCCTCCCTCCCGTGGAGAACCATACATAAATATTGGGCCATATTCCTTCGAGTAGGTGGAAGAATTTATATATCTAGAATCACAAGTGAATTCCCATAATGACATTGCACAGGAGATTCAGCGTCGGATTGTCTCCGCAAAGAGATGTTACTATGGATTCGCTGAGTATTTCAAGTGCGGAGCATTATACCTAAACACCAAGATCCGCCTGTATAAGACATTGGTAAGGCCAGTGCTCACTTATGCTGCGGAATGACCACTATCAGGAACCAAGAACAGGCCTTCCTAAGGTTTGAGAGACAGATCCTGGGAAGAATCATGGGTGAAAGACATGTAAACGGAGCCTAGAGACAGCGGACTAATGCTGAATTAAGGTAGCTATATGGGGATGCTAATGTTACGTTTATTAAAGTAAGTCGTCTCAGATAGACTGGACACGCTATAAGAATGTCTGAAGATCGGGTCCCAAAATACATCCTCTTAGAACAAATCTTTGGCGAACGAAGAAGAGGAAGACCAAGGTTGCGGTGGATTGATGACGTATCTGATGATGCTATTCACAAAGTTGTGGAAGGATGTAAATGTAGAACCTTCTGCCTGATCAATCAGTTACATTTTTTTCATATTTCTAAGCTACACATATCATCTAAGAATAAGCTGTCGAATATTAATATATAATAATAAAAATCTTAAAATTATCTGTAATTTATTCATGCGAATTAGAAATCTGTATAAATCCTGAAATTTATTATTGAAAAATATATACTTACTCCAAATTATAGTTTGCCATTTAGCCTTTTTGAACATTAGGTAAGCTCCAAACAGTGCACCCACGTGTATGAACACAAATACCCCTACAGTTCGCCATTTTATAATGTCTTCGTATTTTTTCTCGTTTCCTTGGCTGTTCTCTTTTTTAACTTTGTTTAGTTCATTTTCTTCAGTATATGTCATCCTGATAACAAATAGGTAATGGTTTAATAATAAGAAGTTTTATATTTTACTTTAGTAATATTAAAATACTTATTTAAATATGTTCTTGTCTTTCCAATTTTCATGAACGTCTAATTATTGAAAAGAATTTGAAAATAAAATGTAAAAAACGTTGAGGAGGGAACCACTCTCTTTCTAGATTTTTTACACGATGTAAATTATTTACCAATTGGAAGCAAAAGTTTGAAAATCTGACTAACTACATATTTTTTTTTTCATATAGTTTACGAAGCTTGTTGAAATCATGATAAGGATCTGTTTTTCTCCATGATGAATGACTGTTATTGCATTAAATATTAATGTTTATTATTATTAAATTAATAATTAAGTTATTATTTTGTAAATTTTTATTATTTTATTTCAATGCTTCACTACTGCATATAGTTGGTCGATCGGAATGAAATTGAAAATCCTGAGCTCTTCAGAGGTATTGTTCTGATTGATCTCGAAATTCAAAAAGCATTCAGATTCTTTAATGAAACCAGTTTTCGACGTTAGCTACTCGAAACATTCCTTGTTATGTGGCGTCATTCGTGAAAAAATGATTACAGCATAATAATTTTTTTATCTTATTTTGTCTGGTTTTTTTTTTTCAAACAAATCGACATAAAAAATATCCCGTCTGTCCAGTCTTTCTACTTTTCTTATAGTACCGAGTGCGAAATTATATGCCTCTTAAAAGAAATTGTGAATGTATTATTAACTTTCGTGTTTAAATATTAAGAGAGTAAACTGTTTTTATTGATTAATACATAGCCAATATTACATTAGTCAAATATAATTATAATTTTAAGGTCCCGGGTTCGAATCCAGCTGAAGGCTGGTAATTATTTATTTTCTTTCATTAAATACCCAATTAAGGGGAAAACCTGGCGGTTTAATATGATGTTGGCCCGAACTTTGGACAATCTCTGTCCTTGAAACAGTATTCCTTGAAACAGTAAACACTGAACCCAAGACCCTTCATTAGTTCGAATGGTACAACTTTTGTTTTTGTTTTATAGAATAATATAAAACCCATTCATGAAACTGCTAGGAAGAATAGTAAAAGCACAACTGGAAAAGCTAAGCTGTATGATCAAGCCGAGGTGCAATGTGGATTTACACCACAGCCAGGTATTCACCATATTTTCAGTCTGGAGCAGCTATTAGAAATGCAAACAGTCAAATCAAAAAGACTAGATTTAATTTTCATTGACTTGGAAAAGGCATACGATATGTGTGCCATGCTAACTCTTGTAGGAATACTTATGGTAGACTGAAATAGACCAAGGAATCATGAACCAAATTAAAGAAACGTTTACAAATAATAGATGCTAGATCAGAATAGGCTCATTGTTATCAAGGAAATTTCGGAAAAGGGTTACTGCAAGGATGCTGCACGTTCTCTACACTATTTAAAATATATCTTGATAAATGCCTAATTAAATACCTTAACGGGGTAAATATTAACTCACATATTGCAAAATATTGTCTATTTCCTTATTAAATTACTCTTAATTTTTAAATTTCGCCTAAAGGTATAAAAAAAAAATCGTATGAGGAGACAAATTAGATCTTTTTATTTATAACTATCTGAATCTTATAAAATATGTTTTTTTTTAATAGTTAAGTTGTGGTTTACGTTTATTTTTCTTAGTTTGCTATAAAGGTTAGTTGTATAGAATAATTAGCGCAAGAGGCTCTTATTAGAAAGTATAATAGAATTTCCTTTAAGGTACCCTGAAGATAATATAACTCAAAATATATGTTAATAGTTATGGTAAAAACGATATTATTTCTATTCTTGACGATTTAAATTTTTTTTTATCAGTTCAGTTTTAACTAATGCCAGGATAAAAGCTGTAAATATGACCAGTTTAAAAAAAAACTCCTCGTCAGAAAATATTAAAATTGTGACATTACACGAATTGGAGGAATTTTCACGGAAAAGTGGGTCGAGTACAAGTTGCCACCACCACTCAACTGTACTCTTAGTCTTGAAGAAAAATGTTTCTCAGGGCAACATGGAGCGAACGAAAGGAACTTGAAGGGGGGAAAAAACGAACAATTAGGCCATTTAATGATGCAATTGTTTAATCTTCCAGAGGTCTTGCAGATAACAGTATGGAATATAAAATAAAATTTAATAAAAATTTACTGGATAATGCAATTCCATGCAATTTTTATTTTTGGACAGGCCTGTATAGTTATCGTTATATATATATATATATATATATATATATATATATATATATATGTATGTATATATATATATATATAAATTAATACATACATACAGGAAAAAAAAGCTCCTTCCTCGAAATTAAGTCCTGAATCTCTTGCTGGTCGTTATACAAGGTCTTTCCCAGACCTTTTCAATCAAATACTTATTTGTATACTAATTTAAAATTTTTATTTAATGCTTTTTTTCGTATCAAAAGTGGTACTATTCAGGTTAGTGATTTTTTTTTTCATGAAATTACAGAAAACTTTAAAATTTTCCACAATCGTCTAAACTTTTTGCAGAAGCAGAAATAGTATTATCCCACCTGAGCTAATGAATTAAAATTATTTTATATTTATAAGTATTTCCATTTGTTGAAAAAATATCATTATAAGAGAAAACAATAAGATTTTTAACAAGAATTTTAGCTATTCATGTTTATGAAATTTTCGTGCACTGTTATGAATAAATGTTAAAAATTGAATAAAAATATCTATTGCAATGATTGATTGATGGAGTTCACACAGATGGTTAAGGAACGTACAAGCTTTATCATGTTGTACTTAGCACTTATGCAATTTGAGATACATTTCATCATTCCAAAACATAATGAGTGATTAAGATGTTTTTCTTGTTTAGTAGTGTAGCGTATTACTATTTTATTATTATTACTGAATGTAATATACCAGTATAAATTAGAGCATATAATAAATATTTTATTTAAATCAACTAAGTGAACTAAAATTTCAATAATATTGCAATTTTGTGATTATATATTTACGTTTTTATGGATTATTTATTATAATGATAACATAACTGACCTGCTGCCTGCTTGGTGTCAGGACGTGTGGCTTCGTTCTGGCTGGCGTGTGTCTGGTGGAGTCTTTTATAAGGTCGCTTGTCTGTCGTCACGGTCACTCTAAACCATTACTATTCATCCATACTTTTAGTGTTATTGTTTAATAATTTATTATTGATTTCTTTATAAATAATTTATCATTCGGGATCAGTTCTATTTAAAATGAGTAGTTAGATGAATAAAATATTTCATTTTAATTTATAGTTACATTTCTTCTGTGCATTATAATCATGCTCAAGTATTTCTAACATGTATAATACATTCTGATAAGTGAAGGCAAATGATTAATTTGTTTGAACGCGCTTTCCGCTTTTGAAAAAACTTTTTATAGAGAATGGTTTTTAGGCTTTATAACATTGAGATCCCAAGAATGAAGTACTTTAATGAAATTGAATAAAAAAGGTCTGCCAAGGAAGGTCAGGTCAGTATAGCTTCCTCACCGTTTGCATTGGCTAATAAATATCTATATTACATGGTCTAAAATTTTTCGTATGAGAATAAAATATCTGGGAGAAGCCTTTTTCGGAAATTCGTTAATCCTTCAACATATACTGGTTTGATATCCACGAGTTTTGTTCATCAGCGAATACTAAAATGCGAAAAAGTTCCGCACATGCAGATATCATATTTGATGTTACGAGATTAAAAAAAAAAATCGAGTGCGTACTTAACATGAATATCACTACTGTTAGTGCAAAAAGTCTTATGTAAACATTGAGTGTTTTACAGAAAATCATAAAAACTTATTGTTTTGTTATGATTTATTAGTATAATTTCATAAATTATTGCCCTCTGCTATTTTTTAATGTAGCAGAATGCTTACGACTTATTGCACTAACAGTAGTAATTTTTACTTAATCGGCATGTTTTGCTCGTAAAATCAATGTTACAAAAATTCAATAAGAGAAATAAGTAAACTAAAGTTTTTGGTTTTCAGAGTTAACGAGACCAATACTTTTCTTCAGTCAGAACAAAACTATATGAGCTGGAATATGAAAGTATATGTGAAAATTAATCTCGATACCACGACGAACTGGTTGAACTTTAATAGAAATAAATTCAATCACAAATAAGATTTTTCTTTTTTACAAACTCAGAGTAAAAATTAATTTAAATTTACTGAAAATTAAACGAAATCTGAGTAACGTTTGGAATCGACGAAATAATGTAGTTTAAATTAACTCTTTGAATAAAATTTTATAACTCCATAAAAATATTGTCATAACCTACTCCCACTCCATATGATCAGTACCTTTCACATTTCCTTGCCATTATATTGTTAACAATTATTTTTAATTGAACAATGAAATTCATTTTAGGAAATTTCTATACTATTCTCCAAATTTCCTCCTTGTTTGGGTCAAATTGAACGCCTAGTTTTTAAACTATAGGCGTGCCAAATATTACGTTGACTGATCCGAAAGCGAAAGTATTTTTTCTAGGAGAAGTGGATAGAATTTGATAAAATTCATACCTACTTGATTGTCTGTTTACCAATCTCTAACTTCCCTCCAAATTTAAGCCAAATCGAACATGCGGTTTTAAAGATATAGACGTATCAAGGAAAATACATTTGCGCATATATACAAGAAATTAGTGGACAGAATTCAATAAAATTGGCATAACGTTATTTTTTTACCATTACCTACCTTTTATCTAACTTTGAGCCAAATCAAACGAGTCGTATCTGAAATATTGGCATGTCTAATACAATACGTTTGCGCATGCGTAAGCGAAGTGCTGGATGGAATTTGATAAAATTGATATGGAACTATCTAGGCACCAATCCGGATAATCCCTAAACATTTTATGAAAATCGGATGAAAGGGTACTAAGTGATATTCCCGTCATATCGATTTGACTACAGACAAACCGACAGACAGACAGGCATATTTG